ACAAGTTCCAGATGAAGGGGACAACCAAATATATGACTCGAGGTTCTGCCCAGCAGGTAGATTTCCCTTCCCCACAAACCTATGAATCACCAAGAGTGGAGCCGTATCGGCACAGCAATCTACTTATTCCTAAGAGAGAACTATTCTGTTCTCTTTCTCTGATCATTGTTGTTTCTGGATAAGCTTCAGCCATCTTGCTGCTGGTATAAGAATGGAGTCAATATGGAGAATGGCAGAAGAGAGGAACAGGAAGAACCTGAATACCTAATGATATCATTGAACTACCCCAAAACTTGACCCATTGTGGAACTTCCAGTTGGTAAGATAATACATTTCCTAATAGTTTTAACCACTTCGAGTTAGTGTTTCTGTTTCTGACAGCCAAATGCTTTCTAACTAATATAGTTGTCCAAACTTTCTCTCTTGTGTATTACTTGATCACCTAGTCAAAATTCAATGCTCTCAGAAGAAAATACTCAAAATTTGAATAACACATAGGCATGGCTCTATATACAGAGAGATCCATGTGTTTGTTAAGTGAATGGATGGATAAAGGAATAAATGTTTTTAACCGCTATTGCTCTAAGCAAAATCCTCTGTTTCTTGACTACTATCTGTATCAGTCAGGGCTTATTTGCAGATGACTAGAATAGTTAGTTAGCTAGTTAGAATACATAACTAGATAGTTTAAGCAAAGAGGGATTTTAATATAGGGAATTTGTTGATTACAAAATTATAGGAGGGACTGGAGGAGGAAGCTCAGCTGGGCTTCCAGTAAAAAATTCTAGAACAACACAGTAGGAAACCAGTGACACATCAATGCCAGGGCAATGGGAGCATTGCCTTGGTTGCAGACAATGAGGAAGTGCACTGTCTCTAGGGAAGGAAGAAGAAGAAAACCAATTATAATTTGGTCTGCTTTGTTATTATCACCATGTCAACAATTCTAAATCATGTCACCAGGAACACATTCTTCTCTGAAAACAAAATCTTTTGTTGCACTATATTTTAAGCAAATTGCTGAGACTACTGTTGAGTGGTAATAATAGGTAAGTATACTTCAAATCAGCACATTTAAATTACATATCCTTTCATCAACGTTGTATTCTAAATGGAAGTCAATTTGGAGAATCTCCAGTTACATATGCAATCCCCAGTCTTTCTGGACCCAACTATACATTTCTGTTTTGAGAGCAATTTCATCACAGTTTAATCCATCCAAGCTTCCTTCAGGTACAGTTATTTCATGTCTTTAACAGTTGTGATGCTACACATTCCTGTGTTTAAACAAAAGCACAGTGATTGTAAATATGAAGACAAAAAACACTTGATTTTCGTCAGTTCTGTCATTCTATGATACCACTTGGAGTTTTAATTTGTGTTTAAAATTTATGGTGAAACACTCTGACAACTCTGAAGTATAATGCAAATGTTATTATACTGTAATTCTATTGCTATTATTCATTAGGGCAACAGACCAACGTGCAGATGTTTGTGCCCCTTTTGTTAAAAAATTTATAATGTAATTAAATGTTAATTCATTGCTTTTTGAAGACTTAATATTGTTTGTTCTTACATCTTTTTGTTGAAATACATATAAAATTTGCCATCTTTATATCTTTAAGTGTACAGTTTAGTGGTAACAAATATATTTATATTCTTTTTTTCCCTTTCATCTCCCTCTCCCCTCAACCTTCCTGACTTCTGGTAACCATTGCTCTAGTCTATCTTCATGATTCACTTTTATAATTTCCACATGAATGAGAACATGTGATATGTGTCACTTTTTACTTGGTTTATTTCACTTAATATAACGACTTCCAGTTCCATCCATGTTACTGAAAACGACAAATTTTTATTCTATTTTATGGCTGAATAATATTCTTTCATGTGTATATGGTACATTTTCTTTATTCTTTCATCCTTTGTTGGGGAATTAGGTTGATTCCATATTTTGGCTATTGTGAATTCTGCTGCAATAAACATAGAAGTGCAGGTATCCTTTGAATATGTTGATTTCCTTTCTTTTGGATACATGCCAAGTAGTAGAATGGCTGGATCATATGGTATTCTAAGTTTAGTTTTTTTTTAGGAACCTCTATACTCTTAGTGGCTGTACTGATCTACATTCCTACCAACAGTGTCTGAGGGTTCCCCTCTCTTTGCATCCTCACCACCATCTGTTAGTGCCTGCCTTTTTGACACAGGCCATTTTAATGTGGTGAGATGATATCTCATTGTGATTTTGATTTGTATTTCTCCAATCATTAGTAACGTTTAACATTTTTTTCATATACCTATTGGCCATTTTTATGTATTATTGATATTTTCTAATAGTAATATATGTTTATTATAAGATGTTCAAAACATAGTAATACATAATGAGCAAGTCGTGCATTAGTACTTCATTAATTTTTGTAGAGAACAACTACCTACAAGTAAGTTAATGCTTATTATAGTAATAAACAGGATCAAAACACTATTATTTGCTTCTGTTTATTAGCATATTGAGAAACTGAGAAAAACGTATTATTGGATTGTGATTCAGAGCTAATACTAAAGAAGTAAAAAATATATAAGACAAAATTCCAGAAGTCTGTAAAATCCTGGATAAGATCTAGGTATTCATTTTTCCATGTAATGGTAAACATGTGGATTTTTAAATGATATTGGATATCATAAATTCAAGAAAACAGCATCAAAATTAAAATCCATCTTCATGAAAACTAATTAATCCATTGATTTTATAAACATTTACTAAGCTTCTTCCCTGTGCCAAACTCTCTTCTAAGTGTAACCGGGAGAAGGAGTGGGGGCCTCCAAAAGACGTTCCCAGATCTGAGGTCCTTGGTCTCTCTTACCCCAAAGAACGGAGAAAGGGGCCCCAGAGGCCGGTCTGCTTACTGTTCAAATAAATATTGTGGACCCAAAGAGTTTTGCAGAGAGCGATTTATTAGGCAGAGAGATAGAAAGAGAGAGAGAGAGACAGAGAGAGAGAGAGAGAGAGAGAGAGACAGAGAGAGAGAGAGAGAGAGAGAGAGACAGAGAGAGAGAGACAGAGAGAGAGAGAGAGAGCTCCCACACTGTTGTGGGAGGGGAATCCGGAGAAGGATAAAGGATATTAGTCCCCGGAGTTTTAACTCTGGAGTTACTCCCTCCTCATTCATGTTTTCATCCAATGAGAGGAGTTCTTTCAAACTTCCTCTGGAGTGATTGATCTTTGACTCTGATACCGCATTGCCTGTTTGGTCCACAACAGAGCCCTCTCCTCCCAGAGATTTCCGGGGGCTTTTTGGACAAAAAAACCCCACCTGGATTCTTCTACCTAGCCCGCTCCTGGGAAGCCCAGACAAAGAACTCTATGTTCCCGATGGGGGAGTGGATGGAGTCCCGGCGCTGGTAAACTCCTGCCTTTAAAACCACGCCCCTTGCAGACCCGAGGAAAGAACTTTTGTTCCTTAATATAGTCCATCATAGGCACTGCAGATATAGCAGTAAAACAGAGAAAAAGTTTCCTTGCTCTCAAGTAGCTTACATTCTAGTGGGGTGGAGTATGGAGACTTGTTGGCTACATATTGAGCTGTATTTTCCCTTATCCCCCTACAGAGGAATTAGAAAATAAAATAAATTGGTAAATAATATATTTTTCATTCTACTGGGTGGTAAGTGCTATGGCAAAAAGGAAGTGGGGAAGAAAGATAGTGTTATGGGTGGTGAATCCGTATAGGTCTGCAGCAACCTCGATTCTTGTCTTCTCAGAACAAAGAATTCGACCGAGGAAGCATAAGGCAGAAGGAGAGACCAAGGCAAGTTTTAGAACCGGAGTAAAAGGTTATTGAAAAGCTTTAGAGCAAGAACAAAAGGAAGTAAAGTACACTTGGAAGAGGGCTAGGTGAACGACTGCAAAGACAAGTGCCCGTTTGACTTTTGACTTACGGTTTTATATGTTGGCATACTTCTGGTGTCTTGAATCCCTTTTCTTCTGATTCTTCCCTTGGCGTGGGCTGTCTGCATGAATAGTGACTGTTAGCACTTGGGAGGGGAGCATGTGCAGTGTGTTAACTGGAGTTGTATGCATGCTCATTTGAGGCATTAGTCCCTTACCAGTGGAATGTCCTTGAAAAGTCATATACCAGTTAAACTTCGCCATTTTGCCTCTTAACGCGCATGCTTGAGCCCACTTGCCCAACTTACCCGGAAGATAAAGTCTTACCGGGAAGCTGCTGATCACCAGTTTCAGGTGTTTCTAACTATTGGGAGACTGCCTTTCCCTGGAGCCGACTGTGACCAATTATTGTAGAGAAACAGTGTGAAAACTGCCTGACATTCCTGCTGTGTGTGTGGGAGGAAGTCCTCTCCTGCCCTGTTCATGCCTGACTAGCAACATACCCTAGCAATAGGAATTGTAGAGCTTGGTTTTAGGAGAGAGGTAATGCATAGGTTGCAATTTAAAAAATATCTGGCAAACAGTTTTCTTAGTTCATTTTATCAGATAGGCAGAAATAAAAATAAATTCTTGCTTAAAAAATTATCTTTGTTAAAAATAAATAATAAAAAAATAAAAAAAATTATCTTTGTTATCCATGATGCTTAATAATTCAAATTCATTTTACAGATTATTTAAGGAAGTTAATCAGAGCACAGCCCTTTTTTCACAAAGAATGATAGAATATTCAGAAAAACAATAACAATAGGGGCAATTTAAAGACACGTTATAAGCATTTTTTCCCCTGAAAGTGACTTCTCCCAGTGAATTCTAAAAAAATATGAAGAAAAGGATTTATCTTTGGGAAAAGAGCTTTAAAGCAAATCGTTTACTTTGAGAACTAAACTCTGACATTTTTTCCCTGGTTCTAATTCTTTCCTAAGGGGCTGGGGGAGTCATGCCTTACAAAGCACAAAATGTTATTAAACAGGTCTTTTTTGAACCAGCTTAATGTGGCTTATTTTCCAACCTGACTCTGGTATGGAATCGCATGACAGCAAATCCCCTTATCTTTTTTTTTAAATGTTTATTTTTTATTTATATATAATATGGTATACATTTAGGGGGTACATGTTTGATACTTGTATACAATGTGTAATGATCAAATCAAGGTAATTGGATTATCCATCATCTCAAACATTTATCTGTTCTTTGTGTTGGGAATATTACAAATTTTCTCTTCTGGTTATTATAAAGCATACAATAAACTACTGTTAACTATCATTTCCCTACTATACTACTGAATACTATCATTTATTCCTTTCATCTAACTGTACTTTTGTACCCCTAAACTGACTTCTCTCTTTCTCCCTTCTTCCCGTCCAGCCTCTGGTAACCACCATTCTGTGTTCTGCCTCCAGGAGAACCACTTTTTTATCTCTCGCAATAGTGATTTTAAATCTTCAATATTTAGCTATTCCAATATTTTAAAGTTTCTTAAATTATATGCACAGGTAAAACTTACTTCTGCCATGAACTCTAGTAGGGCCTGAGTATTCTTTTTAGGGTTACTATGTTCATCATTATCTTTGTCACTGGTATCATCTTCACCATCATCCTCTGCTGATTCTGACAGCTTATCATCAATACCCTGAAGGGAATATTCATTATTTTTCTCCTGCTTTACAATGACTACATCTTTGCTCACGTCCCCTGTGCTTTCTTTTAAGCGAAAAGTTGACTGTAGGTCAGACTGTAGATTTGCTAAGACATCTTTACTTTCAATACTCCTTGAAAATACTCTATTTTCAGTATTCTTTAAAGAGACTTTATTTTTAATATTTTTAGAAAGGACTTCCTTCTTTTCTGAGAATGTCTTAGCTACATTTAGAGACATCTGCACTGGTGAGTTATTAAGTTTGGTTGTCAATCTTGGTCTGCGTCCAAAAAGGCATTTACCTGACATTGCTTCATTTGATTCAATCATCGCTTTTTTCTTTGGATCAAACATTAGCAATCTGCCATTCTGTTTGCTCTTTGCTGTCCACTGGTGGCCCTTTCTAGCCGACCATCCAAAGGGCAGACACCACGAATCAGCCCGGCTAACTGCTCTCGACCGGCTCGGGGCTCCTCGCTGCCTGTAGCCTTGGAGACAGCATGGCGTGTGATCCCCTTATCTGACTCCAAATTTTTAGATAAAGCTTAACTCCTTTTTTTTTTTTTTTTTTTTTTTTTTTGATACAGAGTTTCACTCTTGTTACCCAGGCTGGAGTGCAATGGCGCGATCTCAGCTCACAGCAACCTCCGCCTCCTGGGTTCAGGCAATTCTCCTGCCTCAGCCTCCTGAGTAGCTGGGATTACAGGCACGCCCCACCATGCCCAGATAATTTTTTGTATCTTTGGTGGAGATGGGGTTTCACCATGTTGACCAGGATGGTCTCGATCTCTTGACCTTGTGATCCGCCTGCCTCGGCCTCCCAAAGTGCTGGGATTACAGGCATGAGCCACCGTGCCCGGCCCAAAGCTTAACTCTTTCAACCAATTTTCAACTAAAGAATTCTTAAACCCACCTATGACTTGAAAGCTCCCAATGTTTACAAAACTAAATATTTATTTAGAACAAAAAAGAAATTATAACAAATTACAAATATTGAAAAGCTGACACCAAAAGTCATGAAATCTAGAGCAGTTGTATATCTATGTTAGTCTCTATTTTTCTATTAACACATAGATACGGTTCTATAATACATTTGTGCTGCACATTTTTGGCTCTGTATTTTTGATAACCTCTTCATATGTCAATAATTTTTAATGTATTTTGCTATGGAATGTATAGAATAATAGTTTGTTCTTTATTATAATTGTTAAAAAGTTTTACTCATCAAAGTTTAGAATATACCCTTTAAGCCTCACAACTCGTGTGTATTTTCCAGTTTTATGTTTTACATTTAGGTCTACGATCCATTTTAAGTTACGTTTTGTTTAAGATTTGAGATTTCAGTCTAGATTTACTTTTTCCCTATGTATTTCCAATTGCTCTAGCAAAATTTATTTAAAAAAATTCTTCATCCATTAAATGTTTTTGTGGTTTTACATTTATTTTACTTAGTTCTTGACTTTATTTTTATCAAAATGTTTTTATCTTATGTAATTACTAATTATTGATGAAAACTTTATCCATACAATGCATTACTAGCTCTGCATACATTTTTATATTCAACCTTGTGACCCAGTAAGTCATTTTAACATAAAGATATCATCTTTCATCAGTTTATTGAATTTTTTCTGCTATTAATTTTTTTTTAAAAATACTTCTATCTCATTCTGTGTATTTGTTTCTTCTGAAATTTTTTTAGCTATATCTTGGAGCCAGTCCATCTATACTCCATGTCTGGTGTCTTTTCTTACCTAATTTCCATTTGTTTACTCCTCTCCACTATCTTAGGGAAATTGATCAATTGGCCAATCACTAATAGTCTTTTCATTTCAGTCTAGTCTACAGTTTACCTATACTATTTTTTTTCAGTGACTATATTTTCTATTCCTAAGATTCTCCTTGGTTCTTTTACATGTTTACATGTCTGACTATTTTTGCTTCATATTCTGTTTGTATGTTTATAAATTTTCTAAATCTTCTAAAAAATAAACACACATTCTACAGTTGCTTTTGTATTGCTCTGTTATTTGTAGATCCTTGTGTAATTTCTCCTCATTATTGATTTTGTATCTGTCTCTTCGTTATTCGTGGTTTATACGTTTTATAATTTTTGCCTTTGAACCTATCATTAGAAATTTTTCTCTTCTGTGGACATTTTTGAAATGCTTCTCTGGTTATTTTTGACTTGCTTTGACAGAATTCAATAATTTTTTGTTAGTCTGTCATCTCATGGTTTCCATCCTACTCCTATCACACAAAATATGGAAATTATACCCTCGATAATTGGCATTTCAGTCTCTTAAGGAGTACTTTTTTTAATCTGCCTGTGGCTTGAGGTGAGCAGCTCAGTTTTGCCTGTGACCATAGACAAGTGACTTTCAATGTCCTGTCAGTGAGAGAGAAGACTTTTACTTAGCAACATGAGTTGAGTCCATTTCTATCTTCATTTGGTAACTGGAGATTATTTCCTCAGACAGGGATTAAAGCCCCAGTTTCTAATTCCTATATTTCATCCTAAACTCTTGGTGGTATGCCTACTTTTAATTTCTACTTCTCTCTCTTCATTCTTGAAATTCAGATGCCCCTCTCTTAGGATTGCGTTGTATAAAACTGACTTTTAAAAGCCTATTTCCCGTAACCATTTTGCTACCATAAGAAAGTGTTATGACCATACACAGTAATTACAGGTAGATAAGAACTAACATATACAGGGCTACATTATGAACACAGGGCCTTTTGTGAAGGTATGTGTTGAGGAATACCCAAAAAGGCAGGTGTCTAAACTTATATTATGGCTCAGCAAAGGCAGGCTCTTCATCTCACTCAGACTAAAAGCCAACATCATTTCAGATTTTGCATGACTGGGTCTTCTGTTACCTCTCTGACTTTATCTCTTCTTAGCTTCTTTCTGGCCCACTGTGTACCAGTCATACCATCTTTTTTGCTATGCCCAAACACCTCAGATGCATTCCCATTTTCGTCCTTGCTTTTGTTTTTTCTTCTGCTTGTAATGGTGCTCTTCCAGGATATCCCCATGGATCATTCCTCACCTCCATCAAGTCTTAGCTCAAATATTGCTTTCTCAGTGAGGCTTTCACTGACCTTACATAGAATTTCACCCTATTTAAAATTGTACCCCTTCACCACAACCCTCTATAGTCCTCTTAAATTTTTTCATAGTACTCACACTTAGCATATAACACATTGTATAACTTAGTTAAAAATATGTCCCCTTGCAATTTTATTGCTTAAAATACCAGGGAGTAGTTTCTAAGGGAAAATTGGTTGTCAGAGAGAGAGAGAGAGTTTCTAGGGCAGTTCACACCTGAAAAGTTCCCCACAAGTCCTATGGACCCTTCAGGGCACTTAGGCTCCTCAGCAGTAGCCCTGTGAATCTTAGTGGACTCAAGAGTAATGGGCTAAGCTGTGTCAAGAACACTGTTTAAATGCAGTGTCATTGTTGTATATGGAGTTAAATCAATTATGTAAACTCTGTCCAGTGTGAAGCTGTGTCACCTCATAAAATGCGTAGCTGCAATGTTTGTGAAAACTTGATCATTAGCATGCACCAGAGTGTTTCGGGCCTGTTATATAATGGATCTGATTATATAACAATAACAATATGTTTGCAATATTAAGTACGAATTGTTACTTTTTCGATTAACTTTCCTAAAACCTCACGTGGAAGATATCTGGACAACTACAGAGGTTATTATAATCAATTCTTACTTGCCAGTGAAAGCCTTAAAGTAGTTTGAAGGTAATTCAGACAAACTCTTCAAGGAATTCCAATTTACATTATAAACACAGAACCTTTTGTGAAGGTATGTGCTGAGGAATACTCAAAAAGGCAGGTGTCTAAACTTATATTATGGCTCAGCAAAGGTGGATAAAATCCAATAGTGGATACAGGAAGTAGCTATTAATCACATGTAATATGTTTTAATAATTCTATTTTGAATTGTCAACTTTGCATGAGAAAATAATTTATTAGTGACATGAAAAATGAGCAAAATATAATCATTTGTGTTCAAAATTTATGACTGTATAGTCCTAGACTTATTTTTTTTTGCTTATTTCATTTCTATAACAGTATTTTAAAGTGGGTGATATTTATTGTGCTTATTTAAAAAGGTATCAATACATTTCTTATAACCGGTATAATTTTTTTTATAATAATACAAAATATTTTCAAATATATAATATATCATATTTTGCTGTGTTTTTTCCAATGATATTGAAATATGATTGACATGAATATATTTGGAATATAGTGTATTTACAAAATGTGCTATTTAGTAATTTTAATTTCTGTAGTTTATTTCTTGTGGACTTTATCTGTAGCAGCTTTAATAAAAACAGTGTAGAACTTCTTGTGCATGGTTATATCTCACATTTCACATACATTTTTCCTCCCCAATTCTTTTTAAAGGAATGTGTTAGGCCATTCTTACATTGCTATAAAGGAATACCTGAGACTGACTATTTATAAAGAAAAGAGGTTTGATTGGCTCACAGTTCTGCAGGCTATAGTGGAAGCATGATGCTGGCATCTGCTTGGTTTCTGGGAAGGTTCGGGTAACTTACAATTATGGTGGAAGACAAAGGGGGAGCAGGCATGACACATGGCCAGAGCAGCGAATAGAGAGAGAGAGAGATAAAGAGACAGAGGTGCTACATGCTTTTAAACAACCAGATCTCATGAGAACTCTCTCACTATCACGAGGACAGCATCAAGAGGGATGGTGCTAAACCATTCGTGAGAACGTGCCCCCATGATTCTATTACCTTCCACCAGGCTCTGCTTCTGACATTATTGGGTATTACAATTCAACAGGAATGTGGGCGGCAACTCAATTCCAAACCATATCAAGAAATATAATAATTTGTACAAATTTTGGATAAATACTAGAAAGTAGGGAACATTGCAAACAGTAATCTCAAATTTCTTAAAGTTATATACAATATAAGACCAAGTGTAGGGGCATTGTTATCACCTTGATATCCAAAATATGCAAAGGAAAAAATACTTTAAGGAGGTAATTCCAGAGACTAGTAAAAAACACTTGGAGGGAATTGGTTGGGAAGGATGGATAGAAAAGTCAATCAGTATCAGCATACTAAGGAGTTGGCCACATCCTTCACTCTAACACTTAAAATCTTTCAGAAGACCTTTAAATAATACTGCTTAGAAATCAAGAGTTTTTGGAAGTTGGCCATGTAAAAGTTAATCTGTCTCTTAGAAAGAGATGGGATTTATACACTGTCACTAGTATTCCTAGAGCATAATATCAGAAGTCTGTGACCATTAGATCCCAAGAGATGACTTACACATGTTGTGATCCAAGAGCAGG